GGACTCCCATGTAGTCAACCACAGTTCAAGTCCTGGACCGGGTGGCTTAAACTCATGCTGGGTGCATGTGCGTGCATGCCCAAGATCCCGAGAGGAGAGTGGAGAAGAAGGGATTGCGGCATGGCCATCCCCCCAGGGAGTGATTTCTCACTATCTCTGTCTTTCTGGCGAGCGCACATATCCTATAGCAAAAACCTCTCAGGAAAAAAAAAAAAAAAATGGACTATGAGGAAAAGATCCCTGTCCGTGGACTCAAGAACCTAGTTCTACTACAGTTTCAGGTCCCATGAATCGTCACACCTGGCATGTCCCACCCACTCACTCACTCGCTTATTCATTAACTGAATCGTTGAGAGGGATTGTGGCAAGGCCACTTCCCGGGAGGTTATCTCTCGCTTTCTCTTTTTGTCTCTCTCTGGTGAGCGTATATGCCCTGTAACAAAAACTAAACCAAAAAACCCTGAAATATTGAACGTTAGTTCTAATAAATATGCTCAAAATTTTTAGGAAGATATATACTAGTATCTGCAATTTACCTTCAATTTTTAATATTTGCCAGAGGGTGTGTTGATTAGCTAGAGAGAAAGCATTCCCCACGGGGACAGTCATGCCCCCACGATGCCCTTACAACTCTATTTGGGATCTGGGGTATGCACACAGATGCACCCAGCGTTTTCCAAGCTGCCGGGCCCTAGACTCAAACCACAGTCAGTCATGTGGGATCCAGCCACCTTAACTATCACATCCTCAGCTGGCTCTTGAAATGCATTTTTAAAAGGTAAGATTGAAGACTGAATAGAGGGACAGAGAGGTGACTAGAGAAGAAAACACAGTAAAGTGGCAATGATAAACTCTAAACAATGGGTATGTGGATATTTACCGCAAATGCTTCTCAACTTTCCTAAGTGTGGAAAACATTTCTTTTTTCCTTTTTGGAGAGGTTTTTGCTATAGGGCGCATGCGCTCGCCAGACAGCCATTGACAGTGAGAAATTAAATCATTCTAGCTGCTGTGTGGATAAAACGTTGGAAAGAAGGAAGAAGGTTTAGTAACCGAGGTCAGGGCTGGCTGTGAACTAGACGGTACAGGGTGGAACGGGGCTAAAAGAATCAAATTTAGCCAATTCTGTGACACAGCGATGGTATGCTGGTCTAGCAAAGTCAGGTGTGGGCCCAAAATCCCAGGAGGAGAATGGAGGAGAAGGGGTTGCATGCGGCCATTCCCCTGGGGGGCAATTTCTCACTTTCCCTCTATTTCTTTCAGCCCTAGGCCAAAAACCAAAAAGAAAGCAAACAAAACAAAAAGCCAAACCCCACATGGAGTCCATGGTTCAAACTCCTGATCTGATAAGCCTGAAACACGCTGGGCATGTGTGAGAGCACCCAAGTTCCAGCCGACTGGAGGACGGGAGGAAGGGGATGGTGCTGGGACCAGATCTTGTAGAGGGTGCTCCTCCCTCACTTCATATGTGCACACACTTGCTCTATTATAAATTATAAAAGAAAAATGGGGGCCAGCAGGTGGCGTGGTGGTTAAGTCACTGGACACTCCCATATGGCCAATCATGGCTCAAGTCCCAGACCTGGTGGCTTGCTTTCTCATTTTCTGTCTCTCTCTAGTCAATTTAAAATAAGTGAATGAATAAAAAAAATCAAATAAATTTTAAAAATCTGAAATCAAGGAACATTCGGAAAGTTAAATTAATGGCTTTGGGCGTTGGACAGATGTAGAGAGAAGGGACAAGTCAGGATATACGACTCTGCTTCGATGGTATGCTGGTCTAGCAAAGTCAGGTGTGGGCCCAAAATCCCAGGAGGAGAATGGAGGAGAAGGGGTTGCATGCGGCCATTCCCCTGGGGGGCAATTTCTCACTTTCCCTCTATTTCTTTCAGCCCTAGGCCAAAAACCAAAAAGAAAGCAAACAAAACAAAAAGCCAAACCCCACATGGAGTCCATGGTTCAAACTCCTGATCTGATAAGCCTGAAACACGCTGGGCATGTGTGAGAGCACCCAAGTTCCAGCCGACTGGAGGACGGGAGGAAGGGGATGGTGCTGGGACCAGATCTTGTAGAGGGTGCTCCTCCCTCACTTCATATGTGCACACACTTGCTCTATTATAAATTATAAAAGAAAAATGGGGGCCAGCAGGTGGCGTGGTGGTTAAGTCACTGGACACTCCCATATGGCCAATCATGGCTCAAGTCCCAGACCTGGTGGCTTGCTTTCTCATTTTCTGTCTCTCTCTAGTCAATTTAAAATAAGTGAATGAATAAAAAAAATCAAATAAATTTTAAAAATCTGAAATCAAGGAACATTCGGAAAGTTAAATTAATGGCTTTGGGCGTTGGACAGATGTAGAGAGAAGGGACAAGTCAGGATATACGACTCTGCTTACCCGTCCTAGCTACGAGACAACGAAGTTTAGGAATGGAGGGACAATAGGTTTGGGGATGAGACTGACCATAGGCCTCACTAAGGACTCGGAATCATCAGACTCTCACCAGGAGACTCCTGGCACTAGTTCTTTTATTTTCCTAGTCTGTTCTCAAACTCAGTGACTTGGGTGACCACAAGGTCACTGCACAGGGACAGAAGAGGGAGTCACCTATCAGGTCCAGCATCCCCCATGACTGCAAACAATTGAGGCTGGGCCAACCTCCCCGGCCCTCCCTCAGCATCCTCTGCACCTCCCTGCACCTTTTCTCCCAGGGATTTAAGTGTTCTGTTTTTCTCCTGTTTTGAGTGAAATTGTTCTAGATTGGGTACTTCAAATAGCTTCATCCGCAGCATCTTTGATCAGCCTGTAGTCAGAAAACAGACCTCTCTGGAAGACTCGGTCACAATAAGGCAAAAATGAGCTGTGCTCAAGGGCGGCAGACTGGCTCTCCAGGGAGCAGCTGCTGGTCGGCCCGCCCGGTATAGGGCGACTGTAAACTGCAGCCCGGGCTCCTTCCAGCCAGCTGCCCCTGCACCTGCTCTCCCTGCGGTTTCAGCTCATTTCTTACTGCCTTTTCTTAGGGGCTGTTGGAAAGTCCCTCCTTGTCCACCTTCCCTCCGTATGAAGAACCATTACCAGAGAACCTATTTACTGTTTTTGGTAATTACTTTCTAATTTCTGGATTCTTTTCTCTGCCATTCCCACAGCCATTTTAAGCTTAACATTAAATTTTAAATGGCTAAACTCTTCAAGCCTTAGAGCTTCCTGGACATTTGTGAAGAATAGGACAGAACATGACATGCATGTCATGTGTTTGTTATTATTGGAGGGCACGTGACCCCCAGAGACAGACAGACAGAGGCAAGGGGAAAGCACCCCCGTGGGGAATGGTCACTGCATGCAATCCCTTCTCTATTTCTCCCCCTTTTGGGATTCTGAGTATGCACACACATGTGCCTATGTGTTTGTCAAGCCACCAGCTCCAAACTTGAACCTGGAAGGTTCCACAGAGCCAGCCCTAGAACCTGTTTTTATTCTTGCCAAGTGGGCTCCCTTGAGAGGACACCCACACAGCAGAAATGCTGTCACCAAGTGGTATTTGACCCTACAGTGGAGACGCCTTGCCCTTCTAAGGCACAAACATGGAGGCTGGGTTGGTAACCATTGCTGTTCCAGGATAAAGCCAGCATTCATCTTCCCGCACCCACACACACACCAGACTGCACTTGAGACCCAGCCAGTACCCATTTTTCAGTCTCCCAGACCTCATCTGGTCCTTACACACCTGACGTGGATGGGCTGGCTCTGCTTTGAGATCTCAGCTCTGCCCCTCCCTATCTGAGGCTGCTTCCTCACCGCTAAGAGGGAGGGCATGCGCTCCGGAGGGCGTTGTGAGAAACTGACCATGCACATGTGGCACCAGCCCAGGGGCCGGGGCCTTATAGTGCTCAGTGCTCAGGGGCTGTGGTTTCCCAGGTGTGGAAAATATGTTTCCAACATGGTGATTTGTGTGTTTCGTGCATCAGCTATGCAGTGGAACAGATTGTGCTCGATTTTCTTCAGTTAAAAAAAGGCTTTCAGTGTTTCGTTTTCATTTCCCATGTATCAATAAAACTTCAGTGGCTTTGGCTACTTCTTAGGGAGGGAACTCATAAGAAATGAGCAAGAAATAGGCTGGGTTTCCAGCATTTTTATCCTCCTTGGAACTCTCCTGAGAGTCCTATTTTCCAGCCTCTCCATAGTTGAGAAGAACAACCTGGTTCTTCAGCTCACTGCTGAGAACACTTGACTATTTCACAGGACAATGAGATATTCAACCTCTTCGCTTCTCCTGTGCTAAGGGAGGCCATTTTGTGGGCTGTGGAGGGCCTTTTTCGGTTTACTTTGGGCTTTGGTCATACATTTAAATCCTTGGAACCCCAAGACCATGCATCACCCCTGCACCCTGTGGGCTGTTGGGTTGGCCTTCCTGTGGGCGGTGAGAGGACACTAGTACGCCTGGCAGGTGGCTGGACCGCGGGGGTTTTAGAGAGTAAGAGAGTACGAATTCACTGTTCAGACTTACTGTGTACTGGGCCTGATGCCAGGTCCTCTTCATGAATATTTTCTGCTGTTTCTTTTGCCCAACAATTCCCTCATAACAACTCCCTTTCAGACAGGGAGACTGACAGAGGTTAAGCAATTTTCTCCAGACCATCCAGCTGGTGAGGAATGGCGCTGAGACTGAGTGCAGCCGCCCAGAAGAACCAGGTCGTACCGCCATGGCCGTGGTGTCCCCGCAGTGCAGACTCCCCCCAGCCTGGAAGCCTGTGTGGCTGATAAGACCCAAGCCGTTTAACTAGAGCCACCTGGAGCTCTGCCCCACACCTGGGCCGCACTTGGGCCTTGTAGAAGCTCAGTTAGGAATAAACAGGCAGGACCTAGCGTCCCCTGGTCTCTCTCCGGTCTGTGGGGTAGAGGGAGCGCCTGGAGGCTCCTGCCTGGAAAGTGAGTATGAGAGGACGGTGTCTTTCCTCACTTCACCTTGCCTCACACACCTGATCCTCACCCACACTCACCGCCATGTCTGAGCTTGAGGCCTTCAGCATGGGCTCCGAGGACAGGCCAGGGTCTCCATGCCAGGGCGTTTGAGGCTCTAAATGCATAGAGGTTTAGCTAGGTTAGAAGCTTTCTGTTTCACCTCAGTGAGTTCAGAGCAGGCTCCTTCCAGAGTTGGCTACTGTTGTGCTGTGGGCTCCTGGGTGCACAGAGGCCGGACCCCTGTCTCCCAGGGGGTTGGCCACTGAGGTAGGTACTTCTCTGCCTTTTTATGGGGGGGGAGGGTCCTCTTTCTGTTGCCAGACTATTTGAAATAGAATTGGAAACAGAATGCCCCACAAACGCCCAGGGAAAGGTACCCCTCTTTGTTCCTATGTTGTGGACTAGATTCTAGAGGGAAAGGGCCCAGGCCCTGTGGGACTCACACCTGGACACGCTCCTGGGCTCTGAGAGGCCAGCAAAGCCTCCCACACTTGGCTGCTGCAGCCTCGAGCTCAGGATGGTCTGTCATGGTTAAGCCTGGGGAGGAGCTTAACTGCTGCTCTAGAGGAGAGGGCTCTGGCTAGCGGGGCGGGGAGAGCCAGGCTGCTCAGACCCGTCCCAGGGGCTGGCATCAGTTGATCCTCTCCAGGGTGAGAACTGCATTGACCTTAGCCACACTCCCAGTCCTGCCTGCTCTCTAGCCTGTGGACAATCTGGTAACTCAGCATCTGCTTCGTTCCTCAGCCCGTGTCCAGGAGCTTGCTGTGGGGAGGGAGTAAAGCTCTGAATCCCCAGCCTACATGTCCCTAAGTTAGAAAGCCTCCCTCTGGGGGCCCACAGGTGGCATGGTGGTGGGGCACTGGGCTCCCACATGGCTGACCATGGTTCAAGTTCTGGACCTGGAGGCTTGAAACTCGCACCGGTGGGGCATATATATACGTGTGTGCTCAGGATCCCCGGGATGAGAATGGAGGAAAAGGGATTGTGGCAGGAACCAGCAGTTAGCGTAATGGCTATGTCGCTGGACTCCCACGTAGTCGACCACGGTTCGCGTTCTGGACCCGGTGGCTTAAAACTCACGCCGGCGCATGTGCATGTGTGCCCAAGATCCCGAGAGGAGAATAGAGGAGAAGGGATTGTGGCGTGACCATCCCCCCTGGGGGGTGATTTCTTGCTTTCTGTCTCTCTGTCTCTCTCTGTCTGTCTGGCGAGTGCACGCGCCCTATAGCAAAAACCTCTCAAAAAAAAAAAAAAGAAAAGAAAAGAAAAGAAAAGGGATTGTGGCATGGTCATCCTCTTGGAGTGATTTCTCACTTTCCCTCATTATCTCTGTCTCTCTCTGACAAACGCACATATCCTATGGCCAGGAAAAAAGTAAAAGGCTGCCTCTGAGTGGAGAAGGGCTGGGAGAGGTTCCCCTGTGGAGACTGGACTCTATCTCCCCTGACCCATACCTTAGGGCTGGTCTTGGTTTCTGCCCCTTCCTAGGCTTCCGTGTCTGCATCTACAAATCTACAGTGGCTGGGGGCAGAGATGTCAGGTCTCTAAGATTTGTTCTAGCAGCCCCTGACATTATTTTTTTTTAAGTGTATTTATTTCTTCATGCCATAAGCCACCCCTAGTATCAGCTGGCCTGAATGGATCACAGGCATGTGATCAGGGAAGTTGCAGGATACAAACCCAGGACCATGTGGGTCAGGTGGTGTTGCTGCTGCACCACTGCCTGGCCCCACCAGCCCTGAAATTCTAACACAGAAGGTCCTAGGAGCAGCCCACACTCTCTTCAGTGCCTGCTACGGTGGAAAG